CACCCCCCGCAGTTTGTGGGCGGGTGAGGGGAGCCTCTGTACCCGGAGCACTGGTGAGGCGCTAGGGCTGGGGGCTGGGAGCTGCCCTCGTCGTCCTCCAGTGAGGAGAGGGCTGCGTGCCTCGTGTGCAGTGACAGGAGCTGCCATCTCCCCAAGCCCCCGGCAAGGCTGGGGCAGCAGGTGCGGCTCCCACGCAGCTGAGAGAGGGGAAGGCACCTGCCTGAGGCCCCGCAGCTGGGAGGCGTGGCGCCAGCGCTGGCAGCACTGGAGTTACTGGGAGGCGCTTTGCGTGTGTTCTGCCCGCACCCTGGTCCTCTGGAGACCCAGTCAGGAGGTGAGGGGTTGGGTGCTGCCCTGGGCAGGTGGGCCTGGCCCCCGGGGGAGGACTTGGGAGGGTGGTAGGAAGTGGTGAAAACCTAGGGAACACGTGCACGCTGCATGCGGAGCGAAGCTGTGTCCTGTCATTGCAGGGAACTGGGTGAGGGTTACGGAAGGAAGGCGTGGTCAAAGCTGTGAGCCTCCAAGGCCCGTCGGATGCCAGCCGGGGCTCGTCAGGCTCCCTTTCGTGGAGGGTGTGCCTCTCGGACTGGGGTCCCTGATCTTCTCTTTTGGGGCTTGGGGAGAGGGGGCTCTCATGTTCTGACAGTAGGTGGGTAACTTTTCTGAGGAGCACTTGTGTTTCCCAGAGGCATTTCTGGGCTCACGGAAGGGAAAGGACGAAGGTGGGCCTGGGTGTGATGTGAGCTGTGGCCTTTCCTCAGCTCAGGCCTCAGAGGGAAGCTCCTGTCAGTCGGGCACCACAGTCCCTCTGGAGCTGGAGCCTGGCCCAGGCCCTTGCCCTCTCCTAGGCCACGAGCATAGGCTTGATGCCATTTTCCTGCTTAGGGACACAGATGGTCAGAAGGCTTTTCTTTTTTTGGACTCTAACCTAAATATTTCTCCTGCTCTGTAAAGTCAGATTTTTTTTGTTGTTGTTGCTCATGGAAATTCAGAGTAGGGACAGGAGTTTTCGATCGCTCAGAAGACCCTTCAAGAGGTCCCTTCTCCACCTGTGATTTATTAAGTTGCATTCTAAGTGTCCAGCCTCTTTTCCCCTCTTCTCTGGGCTGAGGGCTTAGGCGTTTTGGTTTGGTGTGTCGGTGGCAAGACACGTTGCTCCAGGCGGCGCTCCTTCCTTGATACGTGTCACTGTGTTGGCCTCGGCCCTGAGCCCTGGGGTCGTGAGGACACCCACACGAGCTGTGGCTGCAAGTCCACCGGGCCAGCAAGCCCTGATTCCCCAAACACCTCTTCTTTCCCGTCGAGTCAGAAGCGCCGCTGTTAGATGCATCCCCTTCCCTGACCAGGAGGGCGTCTCGCGCTCAGGCGGGGTTCGCACTGCACCCCTCCTTCGTCCAGGGAACACCTTGGACTGCCTGCTCCCTCTCTCGCTTCCCGCAGTGGCTTCTCAGCGGTGGGGGCCTACCGGGTCTTGCTCCCTTGTGTCTAGAAACTCAGCCGGGGAGACAAATTACGGGCAACGTCAAGGCCCTGCACTCCGGGGCCTTATTTTCGGCACCTCCCGGGAATCGCAGGCGGCTCTGGCTGTCTTGGGTGCCGTCTCCCACCCTCAGGTGCATTTCCTTCCCAGGAGCTTAAGGAAGCAGAGTGAGTACTTACTGTGGGAGTCCTCTTGTCTTCTGCTGAGCTTCTAAGTGAGGCATGAGCCGCCTTCCCTGGGCAGATTTCATCTGCTTCAGCCCTGAGCAGTGCTTACCTTGCTTACCCCGAAGTGTGTCAGAGCGCAGGCCTTTTACCAGGGAGCAGTCTGCCGGCCTAAGTGGCCGGTGGGGGCCCAGCCACACCTTCCAGGAGGACAGGAGAGGACAGTCTCCTGAGGTAGCCCTAATTAGGGTGAGGGTACTTCTAGGAGCAGTGAGGCTGATGGGCCCGGCTCAGCCTGTTTGCTCCACAGCCCCCAGACCCTGGTCTGCTTGCCATGTCGCACCGGAAGCGAGGGGCCTGTTGGACTCGTGACCCGCTCGAAGCGGAGTGGGTAGGGTGGCATGGTGTGGGGAGGAGGCCGCTAGTTCCGAACTGAAGCCCGGGGCTGTTCAAGAAGGGTCTTCTCTCATAAAGGAGTAAGGTGGCCCTGCTCAGCCTCAGCCCCGGGGTGGGGAGTTCAGGAGGCATGGAGAAGGCCCAGTGTAGTTGTGGGTAGAAAACCTCTCTTTCCCCACTGCACGGTTACACACACGACATTGGACTCCTGGCTGTAACTCACTCTCACTCTGGTCTGGTGATGGCCCAGGTAGTTTTTAGATATCAATTTAAAATACCTATCTACTGTTTTTTCTGAATACGCAAGTGTAAATAGTATAATTTGCAGTGCAAAGTCCTTGGCAATAACTTTATGTTGTGTATGATGTTGAAAAACGATGGCAAACTCGACCACCAAGGATTGTCCTTCCCCTCTGGGGCCATGACGACACATAGGACTCTGAACTTTAAACCTTCGACGTGGTTGAAGCAGCAGCCTGCATGTGTGGACTGTCACCAGTGCCTCGCCCAGAGATGCCTGGCCTTCGTCCAAAGGGACTCTCTGCCACCCCAGCGCCCACACTGTGGCTCCTTCGCACCGACTGTCGGACTCTGCCGTACACTCACCCTCTCGTCTGGCTGCTGCCGTTTGTCTGTAATGCCCTGACATGTTGCATTCTCCCCATTTGGATGAATACAAAATAAAAGCTTCTGTCTTAAACAGCAGTGGACCCACTCTGGTTAAATGAAGGCTGTCACTTGGATGAAATGGTCAAGTGCAGGACCATTTTCCTGGCCCTTACAACTCTCTGCTAATGGTGCAAAGAGTTCACTGGACCTGAAACTTTAACCTGGCACCCCGACCTAGCGAGTGGGGAGTTGTGGGTGCCAAGCGAGGGCCGAATTCTAAACTGTAGAATTTACTGGGTGCTTTGCACGCATCTCACACCTGTTCCCCAGGGCTGGCAGTACCCACACATGACAGATCAGGACACTAAGGCTCACAGATAAAAGTACAGAACTTCTAAATGGCAGCAACCACCTGTATCCAAAGCTGAAGCTCTTCCCCCTTGTGAGGGTCCTGCCGTGGAGCTGCCCCAGTAACGCAGAGCCCGGGGACAGAGAAGGCAGAGAGCCAGGCCAGGGCCTGCTCCTGCCCTCCAGGTAAGTGCAACCACTGACTGGACAAGGCACTGGGCGTCCCTGCTTCCCTTTGTCACTCAGGGCCCAACTTCTCCCTGCCTGCCACCGACCGGGATTCACCAGGCCTGCTGCCGCTCCCCATGCGATTCAGAGCGGACGGGATGGCAGGTCTCTTGGGAGCCTGAGGAAGATGCCTCCTCCCCGCTGGGACTTATTAGCAAGGCTCTGGCGATCAGAGGCTCTTGGGTTCAATGGGGGGGCCTGCTGGCAAGTCCACCCAGCCCGTCAGGTACTTCCACTGACCTTTTCTGTGGCCCCGACAGAACAGAGCCTGGGAGGAAATGTGGAGGTGGTCAGAACCAGGATCAGCGTTTTCCAGCACCAAAGCCTCATGCTCTTTGCTCTTTCTGCCGTGGTTCCTGCCAACTACCCACCTTTCTCTCCCTCCCTCCTCAGCCAGGCTTCCTAAACATCTACACTGGCCTGTCTCTGCTTCCTCCCCGCCCTCCCCGCAGCTGGCTGCACCCCACCCACCTCGCAGTCTGCCCCCACCCTGGGCACCAGCAACCCCACCGTCACCAAACCCAACGAGCCTTTCCTGGTCCTGCCCTTACTGCTGCCTGATGAGCTCCTTTTCCTCTTGGTGACCACAGCCTTACTCTGTGGCTGCCCTTTCTCCCCGCACAGCACTTCGCAGGCCTGCCCCCTTGCTCGCTCTGTACGCTCTCCTGGCTTCGCCTCCCCTGCCAGGGCAGGCCTTCTCAACTAGGGCTGACCGCCCCACCCAGGGATGGGAGACCTTTTTGGTTGTGAAAACGGGTGGCGGTGGGGCGGGGAGGGAGGAGTGCTGCCAACCAGCTGGAAGGGCAGGGCAGCGCCCCACACCAGAGCACGAGCCGTACTGCTGAGGTTCCGAAACACTGTGGCAGCGCCACCCGCGCAAGTCCCGAGCATCTGTGGGCTCTGGCCGCCTCCCAGTGGTGTTTCCTGGGCTCCCCCTGGGTGTCTCCCCCCCTTTCTCTCACCAAGTTTCGGTGACTCCCCAGGAACTGTCTCCAATCTGGCCTATCTTATCACCTCTCTTTAGACTCTAAATCTCTCCTCCCTCCTCCAACTTTTCTTTCTAAAGGACTGACTGGACACTTACTCAAGTTTTTTAAGCAAGTTGGCTTAAAACTCTCCGGTCAAGGTTCCCTTGACCTTCAGACCGCTTGGCCTGGGTGGCCTCAACCTCATTATCCAGTCTCTCTCCCCCGGCCCATCAGACCACGGTGCTAATTACCGACTGTTCGTTCCAGCTAAATGTTGCCCCACTCCAGCAAATCCCCTAGTCAGCAGTGCAGAAAAACAGTCCCCGCCGGTTCATCTCTCTTGCCATTACACATCCCTCCCTGTCCCCACAGGGCGCCGTACACCTGCCCCAGCACTCAAGTGTTATTAGTCTGGGTCTCAACACCACTAGGGGACTTCCCCGCAGCAGGGCCCATCGGAGTCCCCTGAGGCCTGCTGTGCACAGGCTGACCGGCATATGGACTCCCTTTCTCCTTTCCCAGCTGCGACGTGAGGATTTCTGCTGCATCCCTGCACTCCCTGAACACTAGGACCCTTGGGATTGGAAAACCTAGGGCAAGCTGGCCTTTCTGGATTCCCGCCCCAGCTAGCCAGGAACGTGGACCCCACAAATTGGTTCTTCAGCCTGTGAATGACAAAGGGATCCCAGATGCACTCTGGAGCCGCTGTCCGGGCTGCTGTCACGCACCTGCCATGGCCCAGGCCCCTCCAGACACTTGCCCGGCTTCGGTGCAGTGGACAGCAGACCGAGCAGGGGCTTCACTCACCGCCTTCCCTCCTTTGCAGCCTGCATCTCAGCCCGTTTCCATCCGAGGCCGGGTGTAGAAGGGGTCCCGGAGGGCAGGTCACATGGGGAGAACCGCAGGGTTGGGGAGACTGCTCTTCTTCCTGCCGCAGAGAAGGGGCGAGGTGGTAAAGAGGGCTGTACGGGGCAGGGTGCAGGAGGACCCCCCGGGAAGTAGGAAGGAGCTTCTGGGAGAGGTGTCATCCCTGCCGCCTCTCTCCCTGAAAGTTTCAGCAGAGCAGACTCGGACCCTGGCTGCTTCTCCCGCACTTTCACGTTTTAGGCCTGGAATTCCACTTCCTGTCTCTGCCTGGTGAGGTGCTTTCCTCTTGCAAGGTTCTACTACACCCTTACCTCCTGTAGAACTTCCCTAACCCCCCACTTCACAAACAGCGCCTCACCCTGTCACTGCGGCACTTGATTTCGCAGCGGGGCATCCGTGCTGGCCGTGGCGGGGCAGGGCATCAGCCTCACAGAGGTGCAGCTGCTCCCGCTGCACCCCGCAAAGCCGGCAGCCTGGAGCCGCTGGGCGCAGGCGGGCGGGGGGTGCCCGAGCGCACACGTGTCTGCCAGCACGCAGGCTGCCCTTCTCGGAGTGTGCGTGCGAGCAGGGAGACAGGGCAGGAGCGCGTAATGATGAAACCGGTTTCTACAAAGTGATGCTCTTTGTACCAAAATATTTAATGAATATGCTGTTAAAATAAAACCAACAAAAGGAATAGTAATACAATTTTACTGGTTTATATTTCAATTCATAAAGTTGACACACTGGAACTACCCTAGCACAATGTCCACGCACCTAGTTTTAGATGGGCTTACAGCTGTTTCGGTAACTGAACAAGAAAGACACAAAGCGGTGGAGGGTGTGGTGGGGGGGGGTTGCCGCTTGTCACCTCCCTTATCACAGATGACCTCAGCAAGCGCTAGGCCAGCCACCGGGAAAAGAGATACAAAACAAGGCAAGTATCTTTATACACAGACCAGTGCCTCTCAGAACAGCTACCTGCGCCCTGCGTGCAGACACGAGGCCCCCGGAGCCAGCCTGTCAGCATACCGCTATATAAATTAAAAGACTAGGTTATTTATTTATTTATTTTTTTAAAGGTGCTAAAACCTCCATTCCATAGTTTTGAAGGGAGAACCTGCAGTCCATCTGAACAGCAAGGTCTGCACCCAGCCACACTGGGGAGGGACACGGGCCAGCAGGACGGGGCCTCGGCACGCACATCCCGCACATGCGTTTACACAAACACACACACACAGTGCAGTGTCTTTCTCGCTTGTATGACCTGTTGTGCAAAAACACTAGGAACCTTTTAGTCAAGGAACATTTCCCAGCTCTTGTGAGGGCAGGGAGGAAGGGAAACCTGACAAACCCGGAGTGAGATCAAGTGCCCAGATATCCACATAATTACCTTGTGCAGATCAATCTTGGTCTGGGATTTAAACACTGTCAGTTGGGCGCACTGGGAAAAGATATTTATATATATATATATACACACACACACACACACACACACACACACACACACGACACATGAAGCAAAATAAGATTTGTCCATGTTATGATTAATCCTGCCTCACGTCGGTCAAGCCACCCAGCCCAGCCCCGTGAAGTTTTGGCAGCTAACACTAAAGAACAACAGGAACTACGAGAGTTGCATAGAATTGATCAGAAACGTGAATAATGCCAAGCCCCAAACCTGTGCATCGTGTAGTTTAACAAAACTAGGTGGCTGCAACTACAACCAGGAAACCCTCCTACTGAAAACAAAGTGCTTCTCCATGTCTACCTGGAGGACCCTATGCTGGCACTGAAGTAGAGAACTGAGTTACTGATCCCTGCACCCCCCCCCCCCCCCCCCCAATACATATAATACGTATATTTAAAAAAAAAAAAAGATTAAAGGTTTAGAAAAAAACCCAAAAGCCTGAAGGATCCCCAAAACTCTGACAATGTCAACTCAGCCCTTGGGCTGGGTGAGGTCGTGACCCCCGCCAGGGAGAGAGGCCTGGGAGCTCACACCGAGGATGGCTTCCCAGAGCGCGTCCAGAGCGTCATTCAGCCAGCAGGCCTGTTAGCGTCAGTAGTCAGGGGAGCCTTACCCCAGAGGCTGCCTGCATCACGAGCTCTGGTCCAATGACCTACCAACATGCTTCTATGGATCTGACTTAGATACATCCTGGTCCTGGGACACGTCACAGAATCACACATCTGGCCAAAGAAGGCAACAAAAGGTGTTGTGTTTTCTGAAGGTGTCTGGAGGCAGCCGCTTCACTCAGCAAGTCTCTTTCCCTTGAACCCCCGTTGCCGTCTTTATGGAGCTCAGTGTTCGGTTAAACCATGTCTTCTTGGCAGCCTGTACCTCATTTAGGGCAAGGCCTAAATGGTGCTCCAGGTCCTGCAAGAGGAACAATGCACATGAGCGTGCTGGGCTCCAGTGTGAATGGCAATGCCTCCCCAGAGCTGAGTCAACACAAGACTTCAGCCTATTTACTCTTGAGAGGCCTCTGGAAATTCCCCAGTTTCCAACTGGCATGGAAGTATCTGGGATCCCTAGGGTTCTGGAATCTTTCCTAGTGAAGACCTCTCCATTTCTTGCCTAGTGTATTTATTAAAACAACCTCCTAACTGAGTGCCTCCCTCTCCTGTCCACCTATTACACACCAGACAGACAGGGCTAGCACTCCGGTTAAGACCACGTCATTAATTTCCAGCAAAGACCTTTAAAGTCTAGACTCCCAGGCAAGGCATTTGAGGGGTTCCATGATCTGGACCCAGAGACTGTCTGCCAGCTCAGTACCCACCTCCACCCCTAGCTTCCTGACACTCCTTCTAGGGCAGGCCCACTCCTCCCTCTGCTGCTCAGCATGCCGCTCCCTCCACCAGCAATGCTCACTGTTCTTTCGCTTCTGCAGCTGCAACCCTTGTTCATTCTTTGACCACAGCTCACATACTGCTGCCTTGGTGGTGCTTTTCCTGATTGTCCTGGACAGTCACACAAGCCATGTCTTAGCTTTGCAACCCCAGCACCTAGAACAGGGCCTGGCAAAGAGCAGATGCCCAGTGAATGTGTGCGATGTGGGAGACCAGGCCCTAAACTTCAGTCCTTAACTCGGTCCCTTCCACAAACGGTGCTTAGGACCCCCTTGCGCTCCGTAAGGGTGCTTGTGGAACTCGCCACGCAGGATAAAGATGACCAAAGTCAGCCCCGATTTCTTCATCAGGAATGGAGGCTCAGATCCATCAGGTAACACGTCCAAAGTCACAAAGCTAGTTAAGTGATAGGAGCTGGGACTAAGAGGTGGCATTTAGGAAGTCCTTAGACACTGTGCTGCGAGCCCTTTCTGTGCTTTATCTTATTTAGTCTTCAAAGCAAACTATCAGATAGGGGCCCTTATCACCTCCATTTGCAGATGAGGAACCTGAAGTGTAAGGAGGTCATGTACAAACCCAAGGTCACAGGTTTTGGTGGTGCAGCGGTGATTTCCAAGCATGTCTCCGCTCCACCAAAAAGATTCCAAGCTTGATGGACAATTCTCATTATGAGAAAGTCTAATTCATGAAGGCCAAATACTAATTAAACATCCACTGGTAAATAACAAGCAATGGGCTTCTTCCTATAAGGATTATGGTCAAAGTTTAAAAGGGAAAAAACCCCCAAACCACAGAGACCATTTCTGGGGTCCGCAGCCCACACAGGGGCCGGGCGTGGGGCCGGGCAGTTACCTGGATCTTACACTCGGCCTCCACCAACTGCAGCTTGGTCTGCGCCAGCTCCAGTTCCATCTCTCTCAGCTGGTTCTTGAGTGTCTCCTTCTCTTCATCTGTGTCCTCATCTAAAACTTCCTTAGCTGAGCTCATGCCCTTTATGCGACCTTCTTTGTTGAAAAATCCCCGGCAGCGCTCACAGTCATCCACTTTTTGCTGAAAGTGAATGTCAGACGTGAACAGGCGAAGAAGAGAAGTGGCCCCGTAGGAAGGTGTGGGCACCTCCTTTTTGGGGAGCCAAGAGGTGGCTTCTGGGTCGAGCACTATAGCTCCCGAAAAACTCTGTTCTCTTTGCAAACTGGCAGATACCCTAGTGCAAAAGCCACGTAGTATCCTACACTAAAATCAGTAAGAACATTCTTATATCTTTGGTCATCTCACTTCCAAGGAACCTTCGTTAAAAAAATGAAGATGGAGTGACTTAAAGATTTATATACAAAGATTTTCACTGCAGAATCAGAGACAGAAAAATAATGGGGGTATAAATTATCCAACCACCATGAGAAGTTAAATATATACTGGGCTGTATCTATACAAGGAAGTATGTAGGCAGCCTCTACAAAGTGAGGAATTTTTCATAACATGGTAAAATGGTTAAATGCTGCGGGAACAAGGGCACAGGAATGTCTGTAAAGCATGGTGACAAATATATACCACGTTTCATTAAAATAAGATGTCCCTGACTGGGAGAAACCTCATTTCACATTCCTCTAAGAAAATATTCTGCCAATTAAACCACTTTATTTATTTTAATTTTGAGAGAGAGAGAGGAAGAGACAGAATCCCAAGGAGGCTTCACCCCCAGCGTGGAGCCCGACATGTTGCTCACCACGGGGCTCGATCTCACGACCCTGAGATCTAGACCTGAGCCAAAATCAAGAGTTGGATGCCTGACCGACTGAGCCATCCAGGTGCCCCCAGTTAAACCACTTTAGAAGGCCATCAGTTATAAAACATGTCCCAATTTCAGAGAGGTAAATGTGGAAAAAAACGCGTATCTTAGAATGAATAGCATTTTAGATGTTAAAATAAACACCGAATGAGCACTGAAAGAACATACACCGTGTTAATGATGGTGATATTATCTACAGGTAATATAAGGGTTTGTTTTCTTACTCTTATTTTCCAAGTTTTCTCCAATGAGCATTGCTAGTTTTATAATCAGGTAATAAATTACATTTAAAAAACCAACACTGCTAGTTAAACACCACTTAGGATGGAGGCCAGGTGCCATCTTCCTCCAGGTAAAACGGTGATGTGTGTGATTAGGGCCATGAGCACAGAATTCGCTCATCTTCCTGTCCACTGAGCTATTAAATATGTTAGCAAAGCATCTTTCAGTAAGTCACTCATCTTGGAAAAATTGGATGAGTGCTCTAATACAGGTAACAGCTTAAAGCAAGCAGGCACCAGGCGCCTGGGTGGCTTAGACAGTGAAGCGTCTGCCTTTGGCTCAGGATGTGACCTCAGGGTGCTGGGATCCAGCCCCACATCGGGGAGCCTGCTTCTCCCTCTGCCCCTCCCCCACTGCTCATGTGCATGCTCTCTCGCTCTCTCAAATAAAATCTTTTAAAAAAATAAAAAATTAAAAAAAGAAAGCACCAAGTTACAAAAACCCCTGAATTGGCAACAAAAACATTAAAAAATTAAAGCCCTCATTGGATTTGGATCCATTATACCAGAAGGAATTGAGCTCAGAGGGGGAGTTGAGTGTCCTCATTTTACAGAACGTGAGGAGTGACAAATGACACCACAGGGTCCTGACCTCTGCACTGGACCTGGAGCCAAACTCCTGCTGGCAGGCTTCCTTCACCTGTGGCACTGCAGTGACCACCTGCTCCACTGACATCTGCAAATCTCGGGTCACTTTTTGTTTCAGTCACATCATCCAGAGGATGTTATGTGAGGAAAAGGGCATTCGTATTTTGAGATCTAAAACCAGAGTTCTTGGGTTGCGTCTGCCCTCCCGTCCAGAGGAAACCGGCATGGAGCCAGGCCATGACGGGCCCCTCATCAGGTACTCACAAGCTTCTCTCACTTTTGAAATCGAAGTAAACCACGCCCTCCTGAAATCTGTGGTGCTGAGCAAAGCACAGCGAACTAGGTGGTACAGAACAGAATCTCTCTGGTAAAGGAAAACTTACCCGAATTTTCTCAATTTCCACTTTATTAGCTGTCTGCTGCTTTTCCAATCTTTCACTCAACTGAGAACAAATCTAAAGAAACAGACATAAAGTGACAATCTCTTGAGTAATGTCATCACGTGCAGAATCTGGGCTTGGGAGGAATTCTACAGCGGAAGCCGGACAGGCCGAGGGGAAGGAAGAGCGGGCGCCAAGGGGCTCGGGGGGGGGGGGGGGGGGGGGGGGGGGGGAGGAGGTCGGGGCAGGAGATCGGGCAGGAAGACAGGCAGGAGGTCGGGCTGTGCCACCTCCACATCCACTGGCCTAGGATGTGAGGAACCTGTCAGCGCCGCCACACTCAATGGCCGACGGTTTACAGACACTTGACAGACTCTCAAGTCAGCACGAGATCCGAGTTTAGGAAAGAACAGGACCAGCTTCGTTATGTTCTTAAAACTCAACCCGCCAGGGAGAGAAGTGGTTCCACAGCATGTGACCACACGTGAACATGAGGCCGCAAGGGCAGGGTGGCTTTCATTTCTTAAATGCCTGTTTATAAATGCTGGGCAATATGCCTGGCTCTCTACAGACCTGATCTTGCAGAATCCTCATGACAGTTCTCTGGGACAGTGGCCATTTCTCTTGTGTCAGCGCTGAGGAACAGTGAGGTCACTTGCCCAGTGAAGTCACCAGTCAGTGCAGGCAGCAGGCGGGTGTGGAGGGGACGCATTCAGCCAGACAAGCAGGGCTTCCAGAATACATGGCCCACTCACAGGGTGCTCAGACTCACCTGCTTGTAGTCACCAATGATAGAACTGTTTTTTCTAATCTCAGATTCTGCTTTGTCAAGTTCCCGACGACACATTTCTTTTAACTATATACATTAAAAAAAAGGAAAAGTGAATGTTTTAAGGAAAATATAAAGCTCTGGCACCAACTGCCTCGTTCTGGGCTTTCCAAAAAGTACCTGACTACTCTGGAAGGGCTGTACTTCACCTACCTGGTCTCAATGCCAGGAGAGGGAGAGAAAAGTCAAAATTCCCCAAAAGCTCAAACCCCATTTTGGAGTGGGGCTTTGGCTAAAGTTCCTCCCTGCCTGTGAACCTGAGCTGAGGAGGTAGCACAGACCCAAGGATTAAAGCTCATCAGAGGGCTACTGTGTCTTCCGTACAGACAGTGCCTCGTCGCCTCTCACCTCAGGCAGTCCTGCCAGAGACCAGAGAGCGTCACCATTACGGAGAACCACGGGGGCAAGAGGAACTTCCTGCAGGCTGCGCAGCAAAGTGATTGTGGAGAGCTGGCTCAAGAGAGGCCTTTCAGAGTCTGCTCTTTGGAGGGGGGGGGTGCCAGTGGAGAGGTAGGGGAAGAGCCAGACATTATAAGATGGCTGCTTTTCTTCTGCAGAAATGCTAACTCTCTTTGTCACATTCAGTTGCTGACACAGGAATTTCTCTTGTCCCAAGGAAGGACGGGCTCTGCCCCAGTGTCTCCTCCCGTGCTCTAATTATTAGTAACTATTATGCTTTACACAGTAAGTAGAAAAAGCCTTCGGAGAGGAACTGAAGCCAGCTGTCTGTGGTCCCCCAACGCCAACAGGGAGCTGCCAGCTGGACTGTGATCTTGGGCACTGACCGGACACGGAGGCGCGTGGGCAGGGCGCCCCCCCCCGCCCCTTTACCTGCGCAGACTCGTCTTCCAGCCGTCTCTTCTCTTCTTCAGCATCGATCAACTTCTGTTTGGTCATCAGCAGCTCCTTATTGAGGGCATCTGCCTTCTCTTCAGCCTGAAACATGTAAGAGATGCCATCACAGAACAAGAATTGAGAACCGGATGGGATGTGAATTGCTCAGGACAATCCTCTTTTACCGTGACAGGGAAAGTGAGCCAGAGAGGGGAAGACATGCCAGAGATCAGACTCTGGACTGACGCAGAAGTGCCTGGCCCGGTCTTCTGCACAGACATTGTGCGGGGCAGGGGTTAGGAGCTCAGCCTTTGGCATCAGACAGCCTGGGCTCAACCCCCGTTGTTCTCTGACCATGTGCCACTGGGACAAGTCACTGAGAACCTTTCTGAGCTTCGGGCTTGTCATCTGAGGGATAAGGCACATGAAGGACTCAGCACAGCACCTAGCAGATGGTAAACACTCAATAAAAGGTAGCAGTCATGATCACTAATAGTAGTAATAAATCCTGGTTTTCTTCCCCGAGACTCTCAGTATTTCCTCTGCTTCCTCAAAAAAGGTCTACATTTCATTCTCGTCACTTGATAAAGGAGGCTGCCTTTCCTGGCACTTGCTGACCCGTGATCTGAAATGGCCCCCTCCACTCCAGTTCTTTTTGAAAACATTCAAAGGTCTGGTGGGAAGATCTGTGGGTCCAAGTGAAAATGATACACCTGTGCCTGACGCAGGAATCCCTGACACTGGACATTCCAAGGATAACCAAAGAGGAGCGTGTCAGAGGGCAGCCACAGAAATGGGGCAGAAGCTCCTGGTCCCACAGCATTAGATATAGAGGGTCTTTGCTGGCTCCTTATACACAGCCCCCTTTTTAACAATGAATGGAGGTGGATTCCCTGAAATTAAACGGCGTTTCTGATGTCACGTAGCTGAAGAGGTGTCACAGAGCCCCCGCACTTTCTACCACACCACACTTTCTCTGAAGTATCTTCTTTGGGAGGAACAGGAGCCGCAGTCCTGGGGACTTACATGGAGAACTGAGAATGGCTTGATAACACAACCTCAAAAGGCCATTAATTATGGCAAGCTGCACATGTGTGCAGTTAAGTGGGGTCTTAAGAGTTAGGGCCTGTCCTGTCCGGGCCGTGGCCTGTCAGCTCCTTCTCTAGCTCAAACCCAAGAATCAGTGAAAGGAAATGAGAACCAAACAACAGAGAAAATAACTAGTAAGGAGAACTAAGTCCTGTTACAGATTGGTTTTACTTCAATCTGTGGAGCAACCTGTTACCTTTCTCCTTTCTCCCCTGGACTCCGTTACCATTTTCTGAGCAGTGCTCTAGAGCCTGGAGCACACACGTATGTTCTCTCACTCAGCACTACTACCATGGTAGTGATTCTGAGAAGTGTGAAACAGCCAGGTTATGAACTGGGTCTTTGAAGTCAAGTCTTCCCTGCCCACCCTGGTTCCCCTCAAGTTCTCACAACGCACATAGCAGAGCTATAATCTGCAACCAGGTGGCATGACATGAAGCCCAGTGTTTGTGCCACCTCTCAAAGAGTTGATGACTCTCAGTGCTGTGTGAAAGGGAGGTGCACAGAAGCTACTGGACTGGCCTAACCAGCGCCCCCTCAGGGTACCACACTCCCTGCACTCTGTCTGCATGAGCATATGAAGAGGGAGCATCTGGAGATAATAAAGACAAATCCAGACTTCCACTTCTTGTCAGGAAGGACTATAACAGGGACCAGATTTACCCCCCCACTGTAAACAAAAAACTGGACAAAGTTGATGAAACTACTGTTTTCAGACAATACATGCAGAACTGTGGTTCCTGGGAGAAAGAAGACAAATAAGATGAGTCCCACTATCACCCTGGGTTTCTACCTAGAGGCACATTCTGGACCAAGAAGGAGGGTGAAGGATTCCAAACAGAGCATGTCTCAAAAGGTCAAGGAGGCAGAGTTAAGGGACCAGGGATGCTGAGGTGGTTGGGAGCTGGGGGACAGAGGCCTGGAGATAAGAGAGCTCTGGAATAGCTAATATGGCAATAGAGGAGATAAACCGAAAACATGAAAATACCCAGTTAAACCAAAGAAGACAGAGGGGTGCCTGCCTGGCTCAGTCAGAAAAGTGTGAAACTCTTGATCTCAGGGCTGTGATTTCAAGCCCCATGTTGGGTGTAGAGATTACTTAAAAAAAAAAAAAAAAATCTTTAGGGATGCATGGGTGGCTCAGTCGGTTAAGCGGCTGCCTTCGGCTCAGGTCATGAACCCAGGGTCCTGGGATCGAGTTCCGCATCGGGCTCCTTGCTCAGCGGGGAGCCTGCTTCTCCCTCTGTCTGCTTCTCCCTCTGCCTGCTGTACCCCCTGCTTATGCTGACAAAATCTTAAAAAAAAAAAAAAAATCTTTCAACCAAAGGAGGCAGAAAAGAAGAAAGAAAAAGCAAATGCAACAGAGAACAATAAACAAGGTGGCAGACTTAAATCTACTATATAAGTAATTACATTAAGTGTAACTGGTCTAAACATTTCAATTAAAAGGAGGAGATTATCAGACTGAGTAAAATAAGCAAGACCCAACTATATGCTGGCTACAAAAAACAGTTTTAAATATAAAGACACAGATATATTAAAGGTCAAAGGATGGAAAAGGATGTATACCAGGCAATACCATGAAAGTTGGAGTGACTATTAATATCAAAGTAGATTTCAGAGCAGAGTATTACTAGGGACAAAGAGGGACATTTCATAACAATAAAAGACTTGCTCCATTGAGGAGGAGTAATAATCTGAAATGTGTAAGTTCAAATTATAGGAAACAAAAACTAACATAATTGAAAGGTGAAATAAATACACAGGTAGAGACTTCCTCACTGTCCTCTCAGTTAGTGAAAGAACAAGTAGAGAGGGAAAACCAGTATGTTCATGGAAGATTTCAATAATCAATAATACTCGGTCGCCTGGGTGGCTCAGTCAGTTAAGCATCTGCCTTCGGCTCAGGTCATGATCCCAGGGTCCTGGGACATGGTCCCACGTCGGGCTCCCTGCTCAGCGGGGAGTCTGCTTCTCCCTCTGACCCTCCCCCATCTTGTGCTCTCTGAAATAAATGAAATCTTTAAAAAAAAAAAAAAAACTCAACCAACTTGACCAAACTGACATTTATAGAATGTTGCACCCACAACAATAGAACACACACATTTTCCACTTGTAAATGGACATGTGGGGCATGCACCCAAATAGATAAGGTAGGCCCTAAAACAAGCATAAATATGTTTTAAAAGGATTAAAATCAGAAAGGATATGTACTCTGATCACAACTGAATTAAATTAGAAATTAAAAATGGAAAAATTTCTGGATGGCTCAGTCAGGCTTCGGCTCAGGTTGTGATCAGAGGTCCTGGGACTGGGCCTCGCGGCCTGCTCCCCGACCCTCCCCTCTGCTTGTCCCTGCTTTCTCAAATAGATAATGAAATCTAAAAAAAAGAAAGAAAAAGGAAGGGAGGGAGGAAGATCGATTTCTGGGAAAAATCCCTAATAGTTGAAAATTAAACAATACACTAGTGACTAATCAATTCACAGGTCAAAGAAAAAACAGTAAGAACTGAATGAAAATAAAAACATATCAGAATGTGTGGAATACAGCTGAAAGAGTGCTTCAGGGAGATTTATAACTTTAAATGCTTATTTTAGAAAAACAGGGTCTAGAACTAAAAAGACTAGCTAGAAAAAGAGCAGGGGTGTCTGGGTGGCTCAGTCGATTAAGTGTCGAACTCTTAATTTCAGTTCAGGTCATGATCTTGGGGTCATGGGATCGAGCCCTGAGTCTAGTCCAGGCTCTGCGCTCAGTGGGGAGTCGGCCTGAGATTCTCTCTCTCTCCTTCTGCCCCTCCCCCTGCGTGTGCACCCACTCTTTCTCTTCTCTCTAAAATACATAATCTTAAAAAAAAGATCAGCTAGGAAAAGGAGCAAATTAAACCAAAAATGAAGTTAGGAAAAAAATAACAAAAAGCAGAAATCAATGCAACAAAGAAAAAAATCAAACCAAAAACTGGGTTTTGAAGAAACCAACACACCTGATAAATTCCTAGTCAGATTAAGGAAAAAGGAGAAAAGACACAAATTACTCTTAATCAGGAATGAAAGAACATCTCAACAGATCCTATAAACATTAAAAGAGTAAGGAAATAACAATGATTTTATATCAACACCTTTGACAATAAAATGATTAAGTTATCAGAAAGACAATTATAAAAATAGACACAAGAATTAGAAAATTTTCATTATCTGGAAATAAACTGAATTCATAATTAAATAATTTCCTAAGAAAATTCCAGGCCCACATGGCATCACTAGGGAATCAAAGATTTAATTAAGGAATAATCCTACACAAATTCCTTAAGAAAACAGGAGGGGACACTTCCCAGTTCATTTTAGAAGGCCATCATTACCCTGATACCAAAACAAGACAAAACATTATGGAAACTCCAGACAAATACTCCTCATGAACACAAAAAGTTTAATTAAAAATCTTAAGAAAAAAAAGGAAACCCCAAGTTTCCTAGGGATGCAAAGGTTGGTTTACACTGAAAATTCAAATTACATCACCATAGTCACAGAATTAGGAGAAATAGCAAATAATCATCTCAACAGATGCAGGAAGAGCATCTGACAAAATTCAACACCCATTCATGACAAAAACTCAACAAACAGGAAGAAAGGAGAACTTCTTCAACCTGATCTACGAAAACCCTCCAGGTGATGCCTGGAACAAAGCAGTGATGCCCACTCTTCCCATTCAACATTGTCCTGAAGATCCTGGTGGGTGCAAGGAGGCTGAGAAAAGAAAAAGGCATAAAGACTTGAAAGGAAGTAAACTGTCTTTATTCAGAGATGAAATGACTGTGTACGTGGAAAATCCTAAATAGTAAACAAAAAAGCTACTAGAACTGTAAGTGAATTCAGTGGGGTCATAGGACAGAAGGTCATGTAATCAATTTTATTTCTAGTGACTAGCAATAAACAATTGGAAAACGCCCTTAGGAAAACAATATCCTTTACAATAAATTAAAAAAATGTGCAAGCTTTGTTAACTGAAAACTAAAAAACAATGCTGAAATTGAAAAAGACACAAATAAATGAAAATTATAACCTATTCATGGGTTGGAAAGTCCAATTATTATTCAGATGATAACTCTCCCCAAGCTGATTTACAGGTTCAATGCCACCCCACTCAAAATCCCAGTCTTTTATTTCTAGAAGCTGACAAACTGATCCTAGTGCTTATGTGGAAATGTAAATGACAGAATAGCCAAACTGTTTTTTAAAAAGAACAATAAAGTTAGAGGACTCCATGACCTGATTTTCAGATTGTAAAGCTATAGTAATTAAGACTATGGTGTTAGCATGAGGATACACATATAGATCAATGGAGCAGGTATGGAATTGAGGAGACCATCCATACAATTGATTTTTGATAAAGAAGCCAAAGTAATTCATTCAGTAAAGGTTTGCAAGCTGCTCAAGGTGACAGATCTAGTGTGCGGTGTAGCCAGACTGTAAATCTCGGCAGGTGGGCTCCTGAGTGCTTCCCTCACTTTGATTACACTCAGTGTAGACGATGTGCCAGAGGGGCTCAGGTATGGTCCGGCTGGCCCTGTGCCAGGGACCCTGTGCAATGTTAGGTCTGGGCAGGACTCCCGTTTCATAGAGGAGACAGCATGGCTGGGCTCACCCGGGGACTCCATGGCTAACTAGCAATCTCGCCTGTAACAAAAGTGACATAAAACAACCACCGAAAATTCAAAGAGTGTTCTGGAAACCTGGTAAGGCACACACCAGAGTTTTACTCTGGGATGCAAAAAGGGAAAAGCTGAAAATAATGAATTTCTTTCAAAAACCTGACTGAGGGGGCAGCGTGGTGGCTCAGGTCATCATCTCCAGGTCCTGGGATCAAGCCCTGCAGCAGGGACTCTCCTTGTCCCTCTCCCTCTACTCGTGCACTCTCTCAAAAAAACCCCCCCAAAACCTAAGTCCCTGAAGGCTGAAAACAAACCAAAAAAAGGGGTGAGAGGACCCCATGCCCCTCACTTCAGAACCTAGCTGATTTTCAGTGATGATTCTAAAGGAACAAGAGAAGACAGACTTGGCAAGGGACTCCATGTCTAGCGTGGAGAAGGTCTGTCTTCTCAGCACTGTAGTAGCCGGCTGGAGGAAGGGACCCCAGTTTGAAGTTCCTGAGCCCTAACGGCAGTAGGGGGCCCTGCTCCTTTGAGCCAAGTTAGGAGTGTAAGCTCTGGTGTCAGGCCATTTGGGTTTCAATCTGAAATGTCACGCTATGCCTCAGTTTCCTCATGAGTAAAACAGGGATCATACTGTATCCCTGACACAACATGGGCTGTTTTGAGGACCAAAGCACTTAGAGCAATGCCTAGAACTTGGTAAGTGCTTAGGAAACATTTGCTTGTTATGTGTCACTATATATGTTTTTGATGTAGTTATGACACCAAATCGTAGCTTCTTGTTCCATATTTATTTTGGAGACAGCATGGCATCGTAGACAAGTCTGGGGCATTCCAATCAGATGGGCCTGGGTTAGATTCCTGGCTCTGTTTCCTCCACGGTGCCTCCATCTCTCTCTGAATCTCAAGTTTCGTGATTGTTACAAGAATCCTTGTCTGTTGGGGGGGCTCATGTAACTCTCCTCACGAGGCTGAGGCAAGGGTAAGAGACGCCAGATGTCAGCAAAGTGCTCGTCACAGTGCTGGCCACACAGGCCACCAACAAATGGGAGTTCACATCATTCTGACTATTCCTCATTCCTGGTATGGGGAATGGTAAAGAACCTAGCTCTTTACTGTCTCAGGATATGACAACTTGAGAAAAGGTTTACACCACTTAGGAGCAGACTCCAACAGGGGAACATCAGTGTGATGGCTGGGCCTGGCAGGTGACTATGCAGCAGCTCAAACTAAACAATCCACCCGGGATCTTAGCTCAAGTGGCCTCTTCATACAATTTTTTTGAACACAAAGCTCCTATCCGGGACCCATTTTCTTTTCTTTGTCTTTTTCACCTCCTTGCTGCATGATGCCCAGCTGCCATGGGGCCGGCCACCTGAGGTGCGCGCTGTGGCCTGGCTTCAGTAGTGGCTGCTCAGCGCCAGCTGCCTCCCTCCACGCGCTGGGCAGAAAGGCCCCAACAAGGAGGGGGCCATTCCTCCAGCGCTCCTACAAAGAACAGAAGGCAGGCTGGGAATCTGCACTAGAAGGTGGGGACTCAAACCTGAGGGCCAGACTGTGGTAAATCATGAAGCAGTCAGGGCTCCAGGTTCCGGTTACTGAGGGCTAATGACCTCGAAACTGCCCCCCAAAACTGGAAAAAGCAACCTTCCCAGTCACCTGCAGCCATGTGTAGCTGACAAGCAAGGGGAAGGAACACTGCCTGAGCTGGCTGTGTTTGGCGGTGCTTTTCACATTCACCAAGTCATGGCAGTCTCCCCGTACCCTGGGACAGAGCTGATACTCCACCTTCCCACTTTTTGCTCTACTTGAAAGGAGAGTGGTATTAGAATACAGGTCTATTCGGAGTGCCTGGGTGGTGCAGTCAGTTAAGCGTCCAACTCTTGGTTTTGGCTCAGGTGGTGATCTCAGGGTCGCTCTCCTTCCCTCTCCCTCTACCCTTCCTCCCACCTCCACCAACCCCCGCACTATCTCAAATAAGATCTTTTTTTTTTTCAAATAAATAAATCTTAAAAAAAAAAAACAAAACAGGTCTGCTCAAAACTGTTTACTCTACAACTCTATTTCTAAAGAAAATAAAAACTGGTAGATACTGCCATCTTGCTCTCTTCATCTGACGTGTGAACCACTTTGAGAATCTAACTGAAGTACAGACTTTCAAAGATATACAGAACACAGTATTTTCATACACATTTGGTGGATGTCAAGGACCTTATGAAGTTCATAGATCTTATGGGGTTCAACATATCATGTAAGTCCCCTGTAAACCCTCAACAGCCTGAGCCTCTCTCTAGAACCTTAGGAAACCAATGAACAGAACAGTAATCTTAGGAGCCTGACAGGGAAATATGAGTCAGATGTTGGCAAACTACAGTCCAACGTGCCAAATCCAGCCTCTACCTATTCTTGTAAATAAAGTTTTATTGGAACATAGCCACGCTCATTCCTTTACTTATTGTCTACGGCTACTTCTGTGCCAATGGCAGAGTTTAATGTTGCAACAGAGACCATATGGCCCACAAAGCCTAAAATATTTACTATCCATCCCTTCAGAGAAAAAGTTTGCCAACTTCTGACCCAAACAATGAATGAAAGACCACACTATTTCAAAGGGAGGCTTGTAGTATAGAAAATGGACAAATACCCTGCCAGGAAAGCCATCATCTTGAACTTTTTAAGATTAGGGGAAGCAAAGAGAAAACATCTGCCAACTGAAACTACTGGTGAAATCACAAGCTGCTGAGGCACTGACAATTAGCAATGCTTATTCAACAAGCACCTAATATGCAGGATAACAAAATCTCTTCTTAGGGAAGATAAGTAAAGGATAATGATTAAATGCTACTGTCAATTGTCGGAACATAAGAATTAGTCAAAAAAGCCTGTCATCAAACACTGGTGGAAAAGGAGTTCAGGGACGGCCTGCGTAACAAGAGAAGAGTGTGGGAGGCAGGGCTTACCGGAAAACCCCTGAAGGAAAGGAGGGAAGCTAGAGTGACACAAGCAAGTGGTTCTGCAAGAGGGACACTTCACAGGTGACACACTGGGACAAGAGACACTACAATTCAAGGACTGGATTTGATAAAGGGAGAAGCTGAGAGTTTCAAAATAATCCATCCCTTTGGCCACGTCAGACTCACGTTATCCAGGTCCTTCCGCAGCGCAATCTTGCTGGTCACCAGCTCATGGGCTAAGTCATCATTTTCCTGTTCCAACCTCATGTTGGCTTCTTGTAGACGCCGGTTCTCCCGCTGAAGGGTAGAAAGAAACCAGTTACAGACATGAAAAAATCAGATGGCGATGACAATTTCTCAGGGTTAACCCTCAAAACTCATTTCTGAGTCCTATGGAAATCATGGGAGGAGTGGCTGGTCCTAAAATGCTAGCAAGCAACAATTTCTTCTTTTCTATCTCTGATGAGAAATACTTAACTGGTCCCAGTGACCTTGTCAAGCAGCTACTTCTGATTAACCGTGACAAAAGGCCACTGAAGTGTGACAATCTAGGCAGCTGGTTTAAAGCACAACAGATCTTATGTTCTCTTTGCAAATTCAAACTGAAACTTGAACCTAGAAACAGTGGATCTGAATTTAAATTTAAAAGAACTCAGCAAAGCCAGTTACAGGCATGATTATAGGAAATGAAAGCGCTTCCCATCGACCCAGGCCATAAGCAAACGAACCTCAAATCGCTCGATAGGGTCTTCTTGTTGGGCCTGCTGTTCCCTCATGGTGTGATACTCTTTCTCATATTTTTTCAACTTCTTCTGACTAATCTGTAGGACAAATCACAGCACAAATTAAAAAGCATCAGCAAGTGGTAGCCGTCTTGGGGCCTGTGCTGGCCTGGGCATCTTCAGCCACCATGGACGTGATGGAGCCCCTCCAGCCTGAGCTCTGAGTCCTGCTGTCTCTAATCATCCCCCGCTTCCTCCACCATTTTATTTTGCACACACCAGCGCTGCTGCAAGATGCTTTCAGTCTGTGACCTCAGGATACCTCGACAAGATATGGTATTATCATCCTCATTTTATAGGCAACTTACTGGAGGCTTAAGGAGGTTATGTAATTTGACCAAGCTCACTCAGTTACAGACTGGCAGACCTGGGAGTGGAGCCCAGGCAGCTAAACTCCATGCAAAGTCCAAGCTGTACTCACCACACTACCCTACACTGACCACTTTCCCTCTCTACTAGCTCCTTCTGTGCTATCAAATAGACACAATTCTCTCTGCCCTTAAAAACACCATTCTACTGACCGTTCTACTTAGCTGCTCTTCTGCCCCATCCAACTACTGTCCTCTTGCTCTCAAGCTGCTTCTTGTCAGCCATGGCAAACCACAGGTGTATCCATTTCACTTCCGGTGCTTCATGGCCTCTTTAACCTCTCTAAATCAAGCTTCTGCTCTGACTACTCTACAGAAAGTACTCTCTTGAAAGTCACTACTAGTTTCTTTTTCACTCCATCCAGTGGGTCCGAACTCTCCCCAGCTAGACTTCAAAATTCCTGCCTTTCATTAACATGACCAAAGGACTCTTCTCCCCTCCAGGAAATCATCTCCCTTTATTCTCTCCTCTCTCCTTCTACCGAAACAGTACCCCCACCCTGCCGCGCCTGCAGGCTAGCCTCTTTTTTCCTTCCATCTAAACATAACCAAAGGCATCCCTTCAAGATGCAACTCTTACTCTTTTGATTCCTTCCTCTAAACCACTAACCCATTCCCTTTGGTATTTTTTAAATTACACTTTTAAATACTTTGAAATATAAGAAATAGAGAAGTGCTAAAATCAGTATGTGCAACATAACGACCGATTATAAAGCCAACACTCATTCCCTCCCAAGACTTTAACATAATCAGCAGGGCACGGCTGGCTCACAAATCTGACTTTCAGCCCCCCAGCTCTGGGTAATTAGGAATCTCAGAGCTGTGCCAGTCTGACTTCCTTATTTCATAGGCCAAGAAATGGAGACCTCGAAAGGGGATGGGACAGCCAGCCCCAAGTGTGCAGCATCTCCAGTCTCTTGTTCCAGGATTCCCTTTCCATCTCACTGGAGCTGCCTGTTTCTTCCCACTGACTCTCTGGACACTGCCCTTGTCAGATGTTTACAGGTCTGCCTCAATCAGAGCTTATTCCTGGAGTCTGACTACTGCCTGTGGGCAGGCAGCCAGGAACATAACCCTATGCCCTGGCTGCCGTCTTTAGAGAGATGCCCATAAACACTTGGGGTGAGGCCACAAGCTGGACAGTGACATCCCTAAAGCCAGATCTTCTGCAGTTGAAGGACAATGCTGGGGTAAATGTTTGTGTACATAAGTGATTCACAAAGAAAGCACCTAAGTAAAACACTGGTGTGATCAGTAAATTTATAAACAATCCTAACAGATCAATAGTAGAGGAACAGACAATAAATGAGGCCTGTGGGCAGCAAACACTCCCCCCCAGAGTTCTCTGCGCCCAGTCTGGGTAACTGACAAGGGAGCACAGTGGTTAGGAGGCCCCCCTAGTGCCTGATTTAAAAAAAAAAAAAAAAAAAAGAGTTGACACCAAATCCTACAAAACATTCTCATAAGTCTGCAAGATTCTTTAACTTCTCATTCTCATGCTGGAGTAAGGAAGAGCTAACATTTTTTTCCCCATAAACATACACTACAAAAAGCTCATTACAAAATAATTTCTTCTACATTTCCTTATCCCGTAAGATAAATGCCTTATTCTCCGAGCCAAAGGGTTGACTCTGCCTCAGCACTGTAACAGCATTATTATACACATTATTATACCTGAGAGATGCCAGACCCTTTACACATGCTATCTCATTTTGGTTCTGACATTTTCATGATGAGATACAGGCACTTCTTCATGTACTTCCCACATTTTCCAAATTTTCTCCCTTGAGTACGATTTATTTTTATAATTAATTGAACAAAATAGGGGCGCCTGGGTGGCTCAGTTGGTTAAAGCGGCTGCCTTCAGTTGCTCAGTAGGGAGTCTGCTTCTCCCTCTCCCTCTGCCCCTCCCCCTGCTCATGTTCTCTCTTTTGCTTGTTTTCTCTCTCTCAATTAATCTTTTAAAGAAGAAACAAAATAAATGCTTGTTTAAAAATAATTCTCATAATTATTCTAGACTTCTCTAAGACAGAGCTCTTCTTGCTCACTTCTCTCAATAGTGGTCCCCACCTGTGCTTCTGAGTCAGTCCTCAGGGGTCACCCCTTAGGACTAATACAAACAGACCTCCACCACCTTCCTCACTGGTCCAGAGTTCTGACTTCACCAGCTCTGGCTTGCTTTCCCATTTCTCCTCCTCATTTGTTCCTGGTCTCCCCCTCTCTTTACCCCCTTACCCCTTACCCCTCACCCCACCCCCACCACAGACAACAGATAAATAAAACCAACACAGCTTATAATGGGTTCACACCTGATCCTCACTTTTGGAGCATGGGCGGCTGTATACCAGAGCCAACTAGTCCAGGCTTCCTCTGAGGAATGGACCCCATGAAAAGGCAGATGCCTGATACCCAAATAGGGAACCAACAGGTACCAGCTGCAGAAGCCACAATTCCAGCCTCCTTATTAGGCTGCACCCCGGAGAAACCAGCACCTCTCAGCCTGTCTGTCCCATTATCAGTGCCTTCCCCAGGTCAGAACTCTCACTCATCATCGGCCCCTGCCCATGCACAAAGAGAGTGCCCACAAATGCTTGTTAAATTAATGAGAAAGGACCCCCTCTTCTCTGCATCAACCTATCTTCTGAACAGAAATGGCAACCACAGTGAACATACAGTGCAAGCCTGGTCCCCTGCCTGGACAACCCCACACTTGCTTCACTCCTATTCACCTTACAGATCTGAGCTCTAACGTCAGTTTAGTGTACCTTTCCCTGGCAACTTCTTCCCTCTATCAGGCCAGGTCTTCATTATATATTCTCATAACATCAAGTCAATTCCTTCAGGGCACCTGTCCAAGTTCACAATTATTTCTTTATGTGCTTACTTGATTGTCTGTCTTCCCACTGGGAAACAGGCCACATCTTGTTTTGCTTACCACATATCTCCAGTACCTAGCTCAATGCCTGGAACATAACTGGGACTCAATAATCAGATGCTGAACAAATCAAAGCCAGTGGCCTTCCTTTTAACCTAATAAGGATGCAGCAGGACATTTATCCAACAGTTGAGCAGTGTTCCTTGTGAGGCATTAGTGATACAAAGATGTATATAGAACACAATATGCAAGCTCCATAAAGGTAGGGACTTTTATTTACTATAAAATTCCTAATGCCTCGTAGACCGCAAGCATGAAAACGCTCAATGAATAGACAAAGTCCCCACTCTTAAAAGTCTAAGGTTCATTTGATCTCTTACTTATCCCAATAACATTTTAATTGAATTCAGGAAGCAGGGCAGCTATGGACTCAGCCCCAGAGTTCTGAAGCATACCCACTATTAGTGGACTCCTATAAGAAAGCTGGTAAAGCCACAGCTTCACACACACAGGTATTACTGCCCTCAAAGAAGCTTAGTTTTGAAATTTGTTCTGTTTAAATGTACTTTCAGGGAAAAAAACTCTAATATAATTTCCTGGGATGAGACTATGTTTGTAATTTAGGTAAAACCAATTTTATGTCCCACTGCAATTAGTACATTGTTTCTTAACACTGTTAGAGTACTATTTTGAAAGTCTCCTAAAAGCCGTGGTTCCCATAAAAGCACTGTCCCTGTAAAAGAGCACAGAAGCCAGGGCGCCTGGGTGGCTCAGTCAGTTGAGCGTCTGTCTTCGGCTCAGGTCCTGATCCCAGGGTCCTGGGATCGAGCCCCGTGTCGGGCTTCCTGCTTCAGTGGGGAGTCTGCTTCTCCCTCTGCCTCTGCTCCTCCCCCTGCCTTGTGCACCTGCACACTCTTGCACTGTCTCAAATAAATAAAATCTTAAAAAAAAAAAACAAAAGAGCACAGAAGCCAACTCTGCCTCAACCCTACACCAGAGTAAAGCATTCTGCACACCATTTCAGAGGACTCATGAGCTCCCAGAGGCCACCCATAGTCCCAAGTTAAGAAACCCTGAATCAGAGAGAAGATGGAGACTTGAACCATGCCAGTTTGATATTTTGGTAGAAGTATGTATTTAATCCCACCTCTTTCTCCGTCACTTGTCATTTATCTGTCACAGGAATTGGATAATGCTCTCTCTTAAAACATGTGCTACCTGCCCCAGGAGAGCTGGTACCTGATCTGATAAAGTGAGAGTGGCCACTGACATGGGTCGGGGGGAAGTGGGACAGTCTGTCATGGAGAGCTTGGGGCTTTGTAGGTGGACAAACCCAGGCCTGAGCTCTGGTTCTGCCACTGACTCATTCCGTCACTGAGGGTGAGCTGCCTTACCTCAGCCTCAGGTTCTTCGTCTAAGAAAATTCCAACAGTCCTATGAGGACTACTGTTAGGAGGATCACATGATATAAAACATATCAAGAGCTCAAAAGAGAGCCTAGTACATGAGGTCTTTTTAATTAAAAGGGTAGTTATTATGTGTTATTATTAACATCTACATTCTTGTCGTGACTCAGAGACAGAGTTACCTTCTGAACATGTGCTGCAAGTAATGAGCCATTTAAATAAGTCTATTTAACACAGGAGAGCAGGAAATAGGCTGTGGATAGGAAATGGGAGCTGATTTCCAAGCCTGGCTTAAGAACCTGTTGCAGGTGGGAATCCCCACTGGGCTAGAGTCACAGGTAGTCCAGGAAAGGCGGGAGGTTGAATGTTATTAGTAGCTCTACATGGCAG